TCGGGCAACAGGGCAGCCCCAGCTCCCATTTCCCATGGCTCCTCATAGAATCACAGAACCATGGARTACCTGAGYTGGAAGGGATTCACAAGGATCAGAGTCCAGCCCTGGTCCTGCCCAGACCCTCCAACAATSCCCTCCTGTGCATCCCTGGCAGYGCTGTCCCAACACTCCTGGAGCTCTGGGACTGTGCCCATTCCCTGGGGAGCCTGGGCAGTGCCAGCACCCTCTGGGGACAGAAGAACCKTTCCCTGAGATCCAACCTGACCCTGCCCTGCCCAGCTCCAGCCCTGCCCTGGGTCAAAACAACTGGCTGCATCTTATTCCTCCTCAAAAATCTCTTATTCCTTTTAATTTCCCTTTAAAAAAARCTCCCTGTAAACTCCAGACTCGAAGGTATGCTCAGGTAACCATGTCAAGCGTAAAGACCTGTTTGAAGCAGTAAACAGCAGMTGAAAAGCCAGGGATTCATTCAGGAATGACAGCTCGGAGGAACATATCACGCAGCAAGACTTTCCAAACTCTGAAAAACCAGGCTGGTAAATTACAGTGATTTATCACTCCGCAACAAAGTACACACACACACACTAAAGTGCTTCCTAGAAAAAGATTACCAAGCAATCATCCAGATGTTACCAAAGCATTCAGATTAATTTGAACAAAAAATCAGCAAGGAAGTGACTCCCACTGGCTTTTTGTTGTCATAAATTTTATCCTGCAGCTTCCAAGAGAATTGAGTTCTGGATTGCGCCTTGAGTCTTAGCTGTGTATGTTTCTGGTGCCTCTGCTCTCATCTCACACCTCTCACAGCACCACCCTCTAACTCACCAGGAGGGGCCCTGAGAGTCAACAAAACACAACTTTCCTCCCACTTCACAGAAAAAACACCAGATTTTCATTGTTGCAAAGGAAGAAAAGAAAGGGCCCTCGCTCCTGCTAAAAAAAGCACGTCAGTCATTTTTCACCCTTGGCATGTGTTACAAATCACCTACAGCGAGAGGCATGGGATGCCTRACAAGGGTTTGCAGTCTCCACTTTAATTCACTGCACAGATCCAAAGCCATCCCTGAACAATCACACAGCCCTGGGGCACTCAGGACTCCAATTCCCACTGATCCCCTCACCAGGAGACTGGAAAACCACTGGCAAAGGGAAGRAGCAGCTGGGCACAGCTGAGGAGCAGTGGGGAAAGCTGGCAGGATCAGGGAGAACCTCTGCTTTGGTCTGCCAGTGTTCCTGCAAAAACAGGGCAYGGCAAAGAAYGGAATCCCCATCCCTGGAGGTGCCCAAGGGGACACCGGGATGTGGCACTCAGCGCTCTGGCCTGGCTGACAAGGTGGGGATCCCTTGGACTCTGTGATCTATCTCAGAGGTCTTTTCCAGCATAAAAAGCAGCCCTTCAGCTCCGTGCCATTCCCAGCTCCATTCCCAGCTCCCTGCCCAGTTCCATTCCCAGTTCCATTCCCAGTTCCCATCCCATCTCCCATCCTGATTCCCATCTCATCTCCCATAACAATTCCCATCCCAGCTCCATTCCCTTCCCAGYTCCCTGCCCAGCGCTGCCCTTGCGCAATGGGAAGTCTTTGTCTCTGTTTCAGTGTCTGAGGGCCCGGGGCACAGTCCCAGTGCACCTTCCCCACCCAGGTTAATGCAAATGAACAGCACAGCCATTCCCAGCCGGGAGCAGACAGCACCAGGTGCTTTGTTTTCCCTGCTGCAGGGACTGCACTGGGAGCACTGGGCTGTTTGCTCAGCTGGGAATGTCGGGACATCGGGGTTTCTGAGTTTTACAACAGTTCCCAATACAGTCACGAAGCCAAACTSCTGTGAGGGAATTTCAGCAGCTCTGGCAGTGTGAGGGAGGGAGGGAGATCCTGGCGTGAGGGGCTCTGTTCATCTCCCAGAAGCAGTGGAAGAAGGTATTAATGCAAAACCTACATACTTCCCTTTTCCCCTCCAACTTCTGCTATTTTAGAGACCCAAAAACCACTTTCTGGCTTTGGAAAAAATGCTGCAGGAAAGGCCTGGCAACTTCCCCAGCTCCTGCAGCTGCAGCTCTGCTTTGCTGGTGCCCTGCACTGCCCAAATTCAGGGATCCTCACCTTTGGAGAGGTCACCTCGGTGCCCAACAGCTCTAGCACTGCAGGAGAAACACCTGTTTGATCAAGGCACTGCTATTGCAAAGCTAGTTCTGCACTTATTTTCCAGTATCACATCCCCTCAACAAGTGACACCATTCTCCTGCACCTCAGAGGAGAAACTGAGCCCACCACTTTCAAATTGTTTGGAAGAGAAAACAGAAATAGGAATGCAGAGCAGCTTTCAGAAGAGAATAAATGTTTCTGCCCCTTCAGAAATTAACCCAGCTGCTGCCAAGCCCATGGCTCCCCACTGACACCCCTCTTTCCCCTTTCACCTGCACAAGGGCACACCCACTGTGGCTGCCACACATTCCCATCTTGGGGCAATGTCCCTGCCTGCAGACACTCGTGGCCTGGCAGCAGGATGTGCGTGTGCAGGGTGATTTGTGGTCAGCCCCAAATGGGCTTCCAGAGGTGCTGCTCATTCCCTGTAACTCAGGGGCACCCCGGGAACGTGAAGTGATGCGATTTATCCCAGACCAGTCCTGCTGAAGCAGCACCACAGCGCATTTTCTGTGCCCCTCCTCACAACAGGCACGCAGCTCCTGCAGCCCAGTGAATGCTTGGCTGCTTGCTAAACTCTGAACATCACCGGGACTCTGAGCTCTTAATTACCCCATAATCTAGAAATGTGCAATCACAGAATTGTTAAGGCTGGAAAAGACCTCCAAGACTATTGAGTCCCACCGTGGGACATCTGTCTAGATGCTACTACGGAGTGCCAGAGTTGAACCACTCACTGCTGTTTCCTGACCTCACCTGCTGGCCCAGAGCTCGACACTGGGAACAACACCAAGGCAGAGAGCAGAGAGTGGGAACTGCTCTGGACACTGGCAGCAGTGAGACCACGGAGATTCCTGAGACTAWAAAAGGGGAGCAGAGCCCCTTGCCAGGAGCTGTCCCTGGGCTCAGCCTGCAGCTCTGAGGCTGCACCCCCTGCCCTGCTGGGATCGTTCCTGTGCTTGGCTTCAGAGAACATCCCACCCCAGCTCAGGGAAAGCCTCCCTGGAAGGCTCCAGAAGCAATGGCATGGAAAGCACTTGGCAGTGAATGAGGTAGCCGGGACGACGCTGGCTGCAGGGCTGTGTCTCGGGGACACGGGCACAAAGGAGGGCAGCACACGTGGAGCACCACAGCAGCTTCCCCTGCAAGCAGGAGGGGCTGGCAGCTCTCACCARCTCCCCCTTCGCCCAGGCCTCTGCCTCCATCCCACCGGGAATGCAAACAAGCTGCCGGGAGCGAGGCTGCTGAACCGGGCAGAAGGATGTTCGTGTCTGTTTCCAGTTCACTTAGGATTTGAGATGTCACAAGCAATAAAAACCACATTCTGATTCTAGAAACCCCTAAATCCTATGTGACCTATGCCTTGTGAGGCACAATAAAAACATAAACATCTATGTGATAACTTCCCCTTTCGGCCCCTGCTTCTGCACTGCTTGTGGCACAGCTGGGCTAATCCCATTTCCACTGCTCTGCATYCTGACCTCCTTAAACAACCCCATGTGAGGATGTTAAAACACTCTAATCTATAAATAATGTATTCCCCTCATCCAGCAATGGATTACTGGGCCATAAAACTCTCTGGAACACTCCTCACAGTCGCCAGTTTAACCAAGGAAGGCACATCAGTAGAGACTCATCCTCTTTCTTGATGAATTCTTGTAAGGATTTATGCCACCATTACTTTTGCACTGGATTTTTCTTTATAATCAACTATTTGGAAGCTGGTATTTTATTCTAGCAGCCTTTTTTTTGCCCCCGCTGCTCCCAACCAAACCAACCTGTTGTGCCAACAGGCAGCTCCCATTTCTGCCCCCTCATGCTCCTGCCCCAACTTCTGGCAGAAGATTCCCAGGCATTCCTGGATCCTGTGCTGAGCCAGTCCAAGGCACTGATCCTGCAGGAAGCCAGCTCTGTTTTCCTGAGGTTCACTTCCAAACAATCATCCTCAACAACTCAAGCCACAATGTGTAACTTCGTTAAGACATAAATGAATCTGCCCCAAAACCTGATGCCGAATAGACTCGCTGCCTCTGCCAAATCAAAGCCTCCCTCAACACCAATTCCAGCAGGAATCCTACCGCTGATTTCCCAGAGCAAAAGCACAAAGCTCAAGTGAACGCTTAAGTGATGCAAATTTGCGGTTTGGCACATTTTCTTCTGTCAGGCATTTTGGAAAAATAAAGTGTTTCTGCCTCAAAACAAGTTAGAAACCAGACAGGCACCCTTGAAAGAGCAAGTTCCCCGGGAAGCGTAACCAGGCCTGCCACATCTCAGCACCTGATCCCTCAGCCCCATGTGCCCTGCTGAGCACAGCAATTTTCCACACCTTTTCCATAATGCACGGATCACTTTGAACTCCGAGAGGATGGGGAGAATCAGGCAACCCTGCTACACCCACCAAACCTGCTCGCTCCGTTCCACAGCGCCGATCACGTGTGGAAATGTAAATCCCTCCTGCAATATTAAAACACCATCCAAGGAACTGACACAGCCAGCTCAGCTCTGGTCTATGAAACAAAAATGTGAAAGCACATTTCCAACAGCTCCGGAGTGACTTAATTCCCAGAAAAAGGTACGCATTATCCTCTGCCTCTGCCCCGGAGCATTACTCATGGCTGATGGGTTGCACAGCTCTGAGTCAGGGCTGAACTCTGGCTGTGGGAAGGCAAGCCTGAGCCCCTCGGGGAGCAGGAGCCATCCCTGACATCCCGCAGCAGCCCTGGGATGGCAGGTCAGGGGTGGGGACCAGGACAGGATGGGGACCCCGTCCCCCAGAGTTGCCGCTCCGTGCTCAGCCCCGATGCTTAGTCACAGTAATTGCAGAGCCAGGGCTCTGTGCTCACATTTCCTGTCACCAACCCAAGAATTAGGCAATTTAGATGCAGAGATAGCAGCCGGGATATTAAATAACTCGATAAGCGATCGCAGAAGGAGCAGGGAGAAAAACGAGCAGCTCGACACGGAAGAGGTTCCCCCGGTCCCGGCTCCACAGTGTTCCCAAATTTTTGGTAAGTGTGAGACCCCCCAGCCTGGCCGTCCCCTCCCTGAGCAGCGCTGCCCTTCACAGCCTGCCAGCCCTYCCCACCTCGCAGAGACACCAATAGAGCCAGAGTCAAGTTGAAACCTTTCACGGGGCTCATTTTCAACAATTAAAGAGGATGGCAACCTGTAATTACRGAAAATAAAGCCAGACAGCTGGAGAAGGGAACATCTCCAGTCAGTAACATGATCCTACATTTTCTCTCCTAGGGAATTCAGCTATCAAGTCCCCAGCTCTCATTCAATCAGTTTGAGCCCCCAGTGTCTGGGTGAGCAGGGCAGGAGAAGAAAACAGCACTTGACAACCCAACTAAACACAACTCTGAGAAAACAGGACCTCCATCCCCATGGGGGAGTTGCGAGAGGAAAGCGTTCCCGGACACACAGCGCCAGACATCCCGGCGGTGCTACATCCCAAACACATTTCCCCGGCTTTTCCCAAGCCCAGCTGCTGCCGGTGSCCCCGGCCGGCTCACAGCAGGCAGGCACAGCCCCTGCCGCCCGCGGAGCTCTTACCGCTCATCATCAGCAGCACGAACATCTTTGCCCGCTGTGCTTCCCGAGCCCCAGCTGCCGGCACCAGCAAGGAGGAAGCGCCGGCGTTTCATTCCCCTCCTGCTCCAGAGTGGGTGTAACTCGCGAAGTTTCACGCTGAGATGAGATGGGTCAATTGGGTGTGTTTGAAGGTTTGGGGTTTTGCCATCCCTCCCTTCCTCCCTCCCTCCTTCTCCTCTTCCCTCCCTCTCCTGATTAATTCYTCCCGTCACAGGCTTCAGACGAGCTGCCACTCAACCCCGCCGGCTCCTGAAATCTGAATTCCTAAGGACATCCCTCCGGGGTGACTTTAACTCACCAGGAACTGAATCCCCAGCCAGCCCCAGTCAGAGGCGACTCGCTGCTGCTGCATTCCGAGTGCTCCACAGCCCCTTCCCCACGCATGGTCCCTGCGACTCCGCTGCAATTGCAGGGAGCAGATCACCAGCAGGACAGAAAATAAAGAAATTCTGACCTACTCCRCACCTTTGCTGCTGCCCTCGATTCCCTCAGAACCCCGAGGGTTCCCTGGGCACATATCCGGACGGCGCTTCTGGRGAGGACGCGTTAAAAACACACCCGCAGCTGCTCCCACGAGCTGCCCACAGGTGCAGGAGGGTTTCCAGGATCAGGAACTCCAGGGAATTAAAAATTACACGTAGATCTGGTTTTACTTAATTCCCTACTTCTCCATAACTGTCTGTGGATTAAGATCTGAGTGGCAGCATCCTCCAGACCAGGGCTGGCTAATGGTTGCTATAAATAAGAAATACCAACACAAAACCCAAATCATCTGTTTATCCCCCAACTTCCCCCACCTTGCCTCTGCACCACATACATGGGAGAAGAAAAACAGGTATTAAACTGCTCTGGAAACGAAGCAGACAACACAGTAAATATTCTTTACAAGCAGAAATCGAATTAATTAACAAATTAACATTTACAGCTCTGAGTGACACTTCACAAACACTGAATATTGAGCAATAACTGTACCCTTGCAGTCCCGCCCTCTGCAACCCAGCAGTGACCGCAAGTTGGGAAAAGGACGGAACTGTCAGGAAAAGAACAAAATAAAATGGCAAAAAACACGTGCAGGAGCCCGGTTCTGGCCCAGGGCTGCTGTGGGACTGCACGGGTTTAACAGCTGCACTGAGGCTGAGGGGCTCCACACGGCCGGGTCCTGGGTGGGTGCCRGGGCAGAGCAGGGAGGACAGGGTTCGATTTTGGGACAGGGACAAGATATCAGAGAAGCCATCTGGCATGGCAGAGTGATCCCTGCAGCCCCCATGACCAGGAACAGGAGTGAGCAGTGACCTGGAGCCCACTTCAAACAGCACGTTGGGTTTAACCTCACCTCTGAGCACCTGCAGCCTCAGATGTTCCCGACAGATCCACCCACGCCCAGCACGACGTTCCCAGAGACCACAGGACACCTAAAAGCACCAGAGCGCTCACCCCTGACAGCTGCACGGGGCTGGCGGAGGGATGGGATCAGACACTCTGTTTGGACTGGGGAGCACTGAAACAATCAATCCTCAACTTTATGGAGAATTTAAACCCGGAATGAGCAAACCAACAGCTCCCACTTGCAGGACAAACAAGCGGGAGAGAAGTGTTCAGCGCTGGGAGCTCACAAAGCTGAGCAGACGAGCAGGTTTGGCGAGACACGAGTGACTCAGAGGGCGACGGGGGCTGCTGCTGCTGCTGCCTTCGGGTTCGCCTGGGCATGGCCACGTCCAGCCCACTGAACAGGTCAGAGCTCCTGTAACATCTGGCTGGGATGGCTCCCATGAGAACGGGATGGCTCCCATTGGCACAGGATCAGTCCCATTGGCACAGGATGGCTCCCATTGGCACAGGATCGTTCCCATAGGAGTGGGATCAGTCTCATCAGAAGACTATCACTCCCATCAGAACAGAATCGTTCCCATCAGAACAGGATCAGGGAATGGTCTGGCCCAAGGCTGCCAGAGCTCCAGGAGCATTTGGACAGCGCTGCCAGTGATGCACAGGGGGGGATTATTGGGGGGGTCTGTGCAGGGCCAGGAGCGGGACTGGATGATCCCTGTGGGGCCCTTCCAGCTCAGGACATCCTGTGCTTCTGTGAACCTTCCAGGGAGCCCCCAGGGTCTCCCAAACATCGAGCTGAGAAAGGTCCCACAGCACTGCTCTGCTCTGCAAGGAAGGGAGAGGGAGTCCGGTCAGACACAATCCAGGTCTGCATCCTGCATAAAGGGGTGATTATCAGCCCTAATGAACATCCTGGGCCTCTCACACCCTGGCACACCTGCTAATTAGCACACATGAGTTAATATCATTTTAACAATGGATTAGCACTTGGGGCAGGAAAAAGGGAGTCACCCTGAGCGCAGCAGGAAGGTGAGATATGAGGAGCATCTGCCGCGCTCACACAGAGCTCTGCAGACCGTATCTCCTTAACTAAGGCTTACTTTACAAAGCTGAGGCGCTTCAAAAATTCATGATTGGATCTGTCTTATTTTTCRCCTGTGCACACAGGTGGCCTTGGAGGAGCAGCCTGTCTCCACCACCCAGACAACCGGAGCCACCCTGCTCTTTCTGCTGGTCGGTGGAGCTCCTGAGGTGATTATCACCTAATTTTGATCCAGCCTGTTTCGGGACATGACCTGGGGCCCACCAGCCACTAATCACTATCAGGAACACCCCCGGGGAACAGCGAGGAGCTCATGTCCAGTTTAGAGCTTCTCTGAACATCCCACAAGCACAGACAGAGCTGGCGGCGCTCGCAGGCACCGGGCACACGTCACTGGGACACTGGTGCCCTTTTCCACGGAATCCTGGAAAAACTGCAGCCCTACAAATGAGACCTGGCCTTCAAAGCTCCCTCGTGGAGGACGAGGCCAAGCCGTGCACTGGCTCTGACCCCAGAATCCCATTCCTGTGCCTGTGTAGCTTCACACACCTGGCAGGAGCCAAGGGCTGTCTCTGTAGGTGAGGACAGTTTGACTCAAGCCATCTCATATTCAATAACAAAATGAAGAAGAAAATTAAYCTAGCTTGCATTATTTTTTTAAAAACTTCAGCTTTCAAACTGGACTCCTGTGATGCAGCTCCTCACAAGAGGGCACTGATGGAAAACCGTCCCACTGCCATCAGAATGACTTCTACCCCCTCAAACTGATSTGAGGACTGCCTGACTTCACTTTGTCCAATAAAAACCTGCAAGCCAACCCTTGGCAATTACAGAACATTAATAYCATGAAAAATTCTACTGGGTTGAATGTATCTGTATTCCCTGCTATCAGAAAGATTTTCTCAGCCTCATGTTTCTGTTTGGGATTAGGATGGAGTTGTGAAAGGCAAGTATTGTTCAGTCACAAATAGTTCCCTTTCAGCCCCTACACAAGTCAGGTAATGAGTTACAGGAGGCTTTTTTCCCTTTGGAGAGGTCAGCAGATATATCAGCTCCTGGGAAAGCTGATCCCCGCTGTTTGGCTACAAGGGGAGCTGAAAAGGTTCCTAATGAGCTGCAGGGAGAGGATGCTGGCAGCGAGCCAGCACCTTTGCCGTGGAACCAAGACAAATGACAAGAGGCAGGAGCCACCTCTGGCCGGAGCACAAGTTCAAATTTAAGGTTTGCATTTCACAGCGCTGCCTGTGGCTGGCAGCTCTCACACTGATGTGGGCACTCTGCTTGCAGACACCCAGAGCACATCCTGAGCTGAAGGGACCCACAGGATTATCCAGCCCAGCCCCTGTCCCTGCACAAACCCCCTAACAATCCCACCCTGTGCAGTCCCAATGCTCCTGGAGCTCGGGCAGCCTCAGGGCCATCTCATCCCTGTGCCATGGGAAGGCTCAAGGAGGAACATTTTGTTCGAGACCCTTGGTGCAAACACCTCCTCTCATCTCTCTGAAACAAGGCGGTAGCTGCTGTCATTTTCATGCCGCGTTCTGACACGCTTCCACCACATCCCTGCCAATAGTTTTAATTTCGCTGGAAAAATCAGCTCTGAACGAGAGTGACAAGCTGCACGCTGGTGACGACGCTGTCAAGTGATGGATAATGTAGGTTTACTTTAGCTGTCAAAACTTTTCAGCGCTAAAAATAGGTATCACAAGCTTTTGGACTCGCTGCGCTGAAACATTAAACAGCCAGGATATTGACACCCTCAGAAGCGCCCAAAGCCACTCAAAGCTGAGTGAAACCAGCAGGGTGTGATGGACAGCAAAGGTCTCTGAGTGCTGCTTATTTTGAGAAGAGAAAAACAACACAGCRCAGAGATAAATCTCATCTCCACGCCAGCCAAAGCCAAGACATGCTGCACACACCCCGTGAAACTCAACAGCACARTACAGGATGCAAACACGGGCAGAGAGAGAAAAGCTTAGCAGAGAAAACCTTGTAGCCTGTTATCCCAGCTCTTGGTCCAGATCCTACAGAAACGGAGAGCAGAGACCTTCCCACAGCAGCTCCTCCCTCACCTGCCCCAGCCCAGCACAGAAGGGCACAGAGCTATGAGGCTGGGAGGGATGGCAAAGCCTGGGAAAAGCACGGGGCTTTGCCAGAGGACTGAGATTTCCATGAGCTCTCCCCAAGCAGTGACCACAGATGGACACCAGGCAGGCAGCAGCTCGCCAAAGTGGACAATGGCATAGGAGGAGCAGGGGGAAAAGGGACCATTTACAAACCAAACCCAGCTTTTCTATTCCCTCTGAGGCACTGAGATGACAATCACAGGCAGAGCTGTCCCAACATTAGGCCAATATTTATGGCAGAAATAAAACGAAGCATCGTAAGGAATYACTAATTAGGTGTTATCATAACCCTGGGTATAACTGAAGCAGCACTCTGATGTGCTTTGTAAATAATTAGCAAATTAACTTCCACAGTGCCCCTGCATAGCAAGTATTATCCCCATCTCCTGCAAGGCCCTGATGGAAAAAAAAACAATTTGGGCAGATTGCTCCTCTGCTGTGGATGACTGCTGAGCTGCCCAAACACAGGGAGGGGACATCAAACAGGAGGGAATTGGAGGCAGGGGGTCCCAGGGGGACCTTGTGGCTCCGCACAAATCCCTGACAGGAGGGGGCAGCCTGGGGGGGTCGGGCTTTGCTCCCAGGGAACAGGGACAGGAGGAGGAGCAGGGTGGACATCAGCAGGAATTTCTCCATGAAAAGGGTGGTCAGGGATTGGAACTGCCCAGGGAGGTTTGGAGTGCCCATCCCTAGARGTGTCCCAGGAAGGGCTGGAGTAGGCACTGRGTGCTCTGGGCTGGGGACACAGTAGGGATGGGACACAGCTACGATTTGRTGGCCTCAGAGGTATTTTCCAGTTTAAATGACTCTGTGATTCCACGATCCCTCCTGTACTGGAGGCAGGAGCTRGGAGGGGAAATGCTCTCCACTCCAACAGATCCAAGGACAACTCAGAGCACCTGCTCCTCTGCAGATGGAGCAAACTGAGCCCACGGCACCACGCACAGACTGTCAGTGCCTGCTCGCTCCAGGGTTGGGGCAGAGCTTCCCTGGCATCCAGTTCACCTTCCACCCAAGCGGCAAGCCGCCTTGCTCCCTYCTTCTCCCACACAGAGGTTCCCCATGGAGCAGGGACCGGAGCAGCACCATGGACACCCACAGCCTCCGGTGTCACCGTCACCTTCCCCCGCCTGCGGAGCTGGCTGGCACATCCAAAGCYCAGTCACCCCTCAGCAGCTCCCTGCCAAGTGGTGGGAGTGGGAAGGGAGGGGAAAGGAAGAGGGCAGGAGCACCAACGCTGCCGTGCCTCCGTGCCGGATGCGCGCTCCCAAAGAGGCAGACTCGCGTCTATTTTAGATGTGCTGCATAAAAATAAAAGATGCTGGTTGACTGCACATGTGCTCATTTTTAGAAAACAAGCTCCAATTTATTTCTTCCATTACAGCCAGATGGTTTAAAAAAAAAAAAAAAACAACAAACCTCCTCTCAATGTCACTTCAATGAAAAGAAGCCCTGACCTGGTTTCAACCTCACTGACCAGAGCACGGCACGGGAGCCACACTGTTAACACCGCTCTCAGGGGCCCTGATCCCTCACTCACAACCTGGCCCAAAGCCCTCCAAGGTGAGCAGATCTGGACTTCAGGTCCTGCCCAGAGGGCCCCAGGATGACTCAGGGTTATAAACATTACAGCTGGCACACAGGGCTGGCACAACTGGACTGACCACACGTCCCTCTGCTCTGAGTGTCGGTGCCCTCCCTGTTCCTCCTTTCCAATTAACTTGTCCTAAGCTGCCTKGGGGGGGTCTTTTTCCTTTTTAAATCTCACATCAATTTAATTTAATTGAAAGAGCAACACAGCTTTACAGGAAAGTAAATGTTGGTTTTCAGCTGTTGCCATTTATCCTTCCCTCACTCTCTCACAACATCCCATACAGCATTTCCATCTATGTGTTTGCCAGCACTGTGCTCCTCATGAACAAATCTTTCGTGTCAAAGCACAGTTTGTGCCCATCTGTGTCCCTGCCAAGCTGAGGTGCCCCGTGTTTCAGTGGGAACAAGTGCAAAAAAAGCACAAAGCAGCTGGAAGTGTCTTCKCTGAATTGCAGTTACAAGTGTTTGGATGTCTTTTCGCACCAGCACATTTAAAAGAAAATAAAGAGCCTCTAAATCTTGTTCTAGACTACTTTTTGGAGGAAGTCACAGCTGGTTACAGACACAGCAGGCAAAGAATAAGAGATTTGTGGTACTCAAAGCCCAGCCCTGCTCCTGAGAGCCTGTTCCTCAATGTTTGCACAGCAGCAGCAACAGGTCCAGCCATGGGTTACACATCACCTTTGGAAGGGCTGCACTGGGCTCTGGCCTGAGCCTCCAGCTTCTAATRCAGCTGCTCCATGATGCTGCCTTTCCACTTGCACACATGTGAGGCTGAAGGCTCAGAGATCCAGCATTCCTCTGAGTGATCCCTCAGACTGAGAGTTCATACACAGATTAACTGCTTAATAAAGCTCCAGGGCAGAGACCTGGTCCCTTTTACTGGCAAAAGCCTCGCGTTCTGAAAATCATAATAGCTCCACAACTGCTGATTACTTTTCCTCATTTGTACTTTTTTTTTTTTTTAAAGTCCTGCCTGTTCCTCCTACTTCTTATGAGGCTTTTGAGTATTTGTCTGTTACTCGCATGCTAAAGCCTGATTTGGGATTAAACACAGCTTTTGGGAGGTGGACTCCAGTGCTGCCTGCTGTCACTGTTCCAGCCCTAAGAAGCTCGGAGAGATATCAGGGCAGATCCTCCTCTGCATAAGTCTGTRTGACCAAAGTTATTCTATTCCCCGCAGACACGCACTCAGACACGATTAATACAGTGCATGGGATGGAGAATGGTGGAGATGGATTAAAGTGGCAATAAATAGGCTGGGAGAACACAAAAATACACAGCAGAGCAACAGAATAGCTCAGTTTCATCACAGCATTGAGTGCCCAAAAGCAGAAGTGGGGATCGTGTGCTGAAGCGTGTCACGAATGTTGGAGAAATGGCTTTTACAACCCTGCCCACTTCCCCCCTGCAGCCACACTCAGGGCAGATAAGKGAACTCCTCAAACCTAAATTACCATTTTGGGGTTCTGCAGAAGCCGTCTGAGCTCCCTGGAGCTGAGGCCAGGCCAGCACAGAGAGTGTGAGTGCCCATCTCCTCTCCCATCTATCACCAGGCTTCGCAGTGAAACTTTCTGGTGACACTACCAGGACGACAAGAGAGACCAACGGGCTGCACGACAGCTCCTTCCTTCCCAGACCCCTCCAAAAATGACCACATCAGGGCAGCCACCCCTGCCCATGTACTCCCACCTCTTCCAGCAGGCTGGCTCCCAAAGCACCGCTGGCCAAATCCCCAYGGGTTTATTTCCAGCTATATTTTTWTTTTTTGGTTCCCTGAACCTGCTCACTGTGTGCAGGAACAGCTGGCCCCAATGAATGGGACAGCTCAGGCTCAGAACCACGTCTCCACCAGCGGGCAGGGAGGCACAGGAGGGAATTGGGAYTGGATTGGGGCTAACCAGATGCACAGCACACACGTTACACTCTGGATCAGACCCTTGGTCAGACCCACAACCTCCGGCCCTTGCAGGTGTTTCGAGTGAGAAGTGCTGGAGACAACCACAGAAACATCACACGTGATATCCCCCTTCCAAAAGAAAAAAAAATAGCAAAAATTAACTTCTGCATTTGCCATGGAAGAAGSACCAAGCTTCAAGCCCCTGTGGCATGAGTCAGTATTTGAAACAACAGAGAGGGAGAGAAGGGGAAGAGAGAGTGGAAACCCCTCCTGGTTTTCGGTTATTTTGCCTTAAATGCACTGTAGTTTATGTCCTCAATAAAAGCCTGTGCATATCTTTCCAACTTAAATGTGGATTAGATCCTTGGGATTACTGCCCTGGCAGAATTAACGTATTAGACATAAAAACCATAACGTTTATTATCCATTGTAAACCACATGTGCTTTCACTCTGGGGAGACTGGAAATATCACCCAATTTCACTATCATTTTCTGCTAACTGACTGCCCTGCCACATGTTCACACACAGACATGTTCAGTTTGATGATAGAGCAGTCTTCTGCTCTCATTCTTCTTTACAATGCTGACATTTTCTTAAATCATGTTTTTCTGTTCTGTTTTTGTCTCTGTGAAGGCACCAACACTACAAAACCACTCRTCTGGAAAAAAAACCTTACTCTGGAACAAAAAAAAAAGCAACTCCTATTTGTCTAGCTGAAAACATACCATAACCTGATGTCTGAAACGAGGGGAGAAGGCAACACAGAGGCAAGGAAACCTCAAACACAACAGGCAAGGAGTCTCAGACACATTTATKGGCACAGTGGGGTCTGTGGTCAACAATGAGGCACTAAAGAACAGAATGTCTTCCCTCTGTAGTTTAAACTCCCCATATTCCTCCTTCCCACTCCTAGCTGGCTGCAAATCCAAAGATCTGCATAAGCCACAGATTTTGTCTGTCTCTTTGAGAGGTCAGAACTGAGCCTTACACAGGACAAATGGGCCAGCTGGCARTAATTTGGAATGGCCACACAGAGGAAATGCGGGGAGCAACAGGGCCAGAGAGGAGGAGCCATTCAAAGCCTGGCTCACACTTACACTGCACCTTTACACCRTGCCTCAGGGGCATCTTTTGATATAATCAGTTTGGTATCTTTGCACAGATTAGTGCCCAACTGTCCCCATCCAGTGCTGCCATGTTTCTATAAACATTCCCGGACATGCCTGGATAAAACAAGCAGCTGCTGACAGGGTCCCCCATATAAACATTGCTCTGTGCATCTCAAAGAACCCTGAGCGTTTTCATGTTGCATTTTCAGAGAGCACTYGTTGGGGGGCTCTGCCCCAGGGTGCAGAGGGGAGGGACGGCCAGCAGAGCAGGAGGAGCTGCAAACACAYACCTCCACCAAACCCAGCCCAGTCCTCACTCACAGGAGGGTGTCACAGCAGTGAACGGGATGGCAGGGAAACATTGGCTCTCCCACGGAGCTCCTGGAATGGAAAAGAAAGATTAAAAGGTCAGCTTCAAGCATCCAGAGGCACAGAACATCTGCCTGCCCCCTGCAGCACACCTCAGCCACACCACAGACTTCATCACCAGCACCACCTCCACCTATTAATGCAGGGGGAAATAATTCAAATAAATCCAAATTGCTTCTCACTGTTTGTTGCTGTTTGTGTCTTGCCAGAGCCATGAAAGCCAATTGAGGCCATTTTCCTTTTCAGCTCTGGGCACTGAGGGCTGCAGGCAGCATTCACTTGCTCCAAAGCAGCTCTTTGCACAGGACCTAGGTTCAGTTAACTGTACCACTGCTACTGATCCAGTTTTATAGAACCCTGGCTCCCAGGGGCATGCTCTCGAGAAAATTGTGCTCAGGATTGGTGTGGATCTCACAAAACAATAACCTGGATGCTCTGGCAGAGGTCTAAGGCAGCAAAACACAATGTATTTCAAAAATGCATCTCTAGAACGCCTGCACAACTGGAGGAGTAAAAAGTCACTTATCCCCAGCAAGTATCACCCCCACACACCGCTCAGGGATGGAAACATGAGAGGACTGGCAACCCTGAGCACATCCAGGGCAGATTTCTACGGCTCTGCTCCCTGACCAGCACATCCCACCACCTCAGGGCACAGATTTGTGGCAGGCACAGCTTGCTGACGGCTCCTTATGGAAAATGGATGGTTTTTCCCCACCAGGAAAGCAGGAAGAGCAGAGCTTTCCATGGCCATCCACCCCACCACAGCACACGGAGCCCTCCGCAGCTCCGAGGGCTGGGGATGATGTAACACCATCAGACATCTGCCAGATAAATAAGCRAGCTCCAACATGCCTCGCTCCAAACCTGCCCAGCAATTTCCATTGCAGAGCAGGAACTTGTACTGGGGTTTAATACTCTCTCCAATACATCCCTTTCCACAGAGAAAATCTGTGCCCACTGCTCCAGGAACACACGTAATCCCTATAAGCAGATGTCAGCCTCCAAAGCTGAGAAAATGACTTTGTTCTTTGGGATCAGGGAATTTAAAATGCAAGAAGTTGGAATGGCCTGATGAATTTGGTAAGTGAAACCCCGGGAGGAAACACCTGCTCTCTGAAGAGCCGCCCAGCTGAACGCCCGCCGCTGCTTTATCCGCCCGTAACTCCACGGGAATGGCCTTTTGCTGGTTGACAATCCAGCTGGGAAGAAGAGGAGTGAGCTGCCAGGAGCAAACGGCCCCAATCCCCATCCCACAGCCCTGCCCCATGCAGCAGCTCTCAGACAAAAGCTTCCGAGTCGGTGTCGCCCTGTGAGGATCCACCAAACGCAAGTTGCA